GCAATTGGTCATCCTGGCAAAGGGCCCTCCTCACTTCACCTGGACCTGATCTTAATTCATCAGTCTGTTCTGAGGGTCACATTCTGAAGTACTGTGTTTAAGAACTTTGGCATATAAATTAGGGAACAGGACAAAATTCAGTCAAGAACAGGAACTGTCTTTCCACATTTCTACTGCATGTGGCGCCTTGCTAACCTCCTGCCTCTCCCCGCCCCCCACAATACTCCCCCAAATGAACCTGAGCTGGCCTGAGTCTTCAAGCGAATAATGAGCTTCTGAATTATTTTCACCCTAATCTGTTGGTGTCATAACAGTGGTTGTTTCATCCAGTTGGAATCTTGGTATACGCTGGATACTTTACGGATACCATTCGAAACCTCATTTCACTTCATCAGCAGTGTCTCTGTGTTTTAGTTGAAGGAAAGTGTGTAGGAAGATAAAGTCATGGGTAACAGCAGGCAGAGACAAGCAGTACTTAAACTAGGCTATCTTGTGAAAGGTCAGTCTTCGTCTCCCATTCCACCCTAGTGTCTTCTAGAATATCAGGGCAGAATGCTCTGGCCAAATCACAGTAAGTCATTTTTTCTCCTGATTGAAATTAGGTCATATCATTTGGAAGAGAAAATCTGACAGTCCAACATATTATTATGCTGCCACGTGTTGAACAGCTTCTTAGCTAATACAATTCTATCATAGGAAAGATCTGTAAAGTTAAAAAAAATAAGGGTGACTACCATCTCTTAAAAGCCATGGAACGATTGAGGTGGTGGGCTGCACCACTAGAATTAATCAAAACCTGATTCTCACCTTTCCATCTCTGAGCATCCACGTCCTTGCCTTTAAACTAGTTTGGGGGACTGGAGGCATCGCTTAACTGTTAGAACATTTGCCTAGCAAACAGGAGGTCCTGGGTTCATACTCCAGTACCACCAATAAAACAACAGATCCCCTTACCATTTGTTATTATTTCTTTCTCATAAGAAAGTATGAGGACTAGTTTATGTCATGAACAAAACATCTACAGCATGAAGCGAGAGTCTGACAAATCTTTTCCCACCCACCTTACCCCTTTTTCTTGCCTTGGAAATATTTTTTTGTGTGTCTTTCCCATAGGGATGGCTCAAATTAGGCCAAAAGATTGCATTTGCTTTAATGCAAATGGTACATGAAGGGATAGGAATTAAAAGAAGGTGAGTCCTAATTCCACAAGGAAAGAAAACTCAGGAAATGTTGGAAGGTCACAGGAACTTCTTATTTCTAGTTAGCAATCCATTCCCCCAGGTTTTAATGGCTAATTTATAAAGCATTAGAACCCCCAAGCTGTGCATCTAATAATTCTGTTAGGAAATAATGCTTTAATTAAAAGTGAGAAATAAGTTGGGAAAGTTTAGAATACAAGCAGGTAAGGAGATAGTGCCATAGAAAGAACAATGGAAGGTGTGTGAGGAGGGAGGGAAAAGAATGTCAGGAATTTAGTCTGAATTTGGAAGTCAAGTATTTCTGAGAACCACAGTTCTTCCTAGGCTTATTTCCTTACTAGTTGTTGTGGCTTGGATGTGGATCCCAAGAATTCATGGGTTAGAAGCTTAATCCCTAAATTTATATGTAATGGTAATTGTACATGGGGACATTGGATGGTAATGAGGATTAGATAAGTTTATGAGCATGGGGTAATTATTATGGACTAGTGGATTTAGAAGAAGGAGAAGAAAAAAGGAGGTGGTGGAGGAGGAGGAGGAGGAGGAGGAGGAGAGGAGGCATCAAGATCTTGCTGTCTTAACTTTCTGCCTTTTATGAGGTAGCAAGAAGACTCTCATCAGCTATTAGCACCATACTCTTGGATTCCCCAGCCTTCAGATCCCTGAGTTAAGTGAACCTCTATTTTTTTTCCTCCAGAGCTAAGGACTGAACTCAGGCCTTGCACTTGCCAGGCAAGTGCTCTTCCACTGACCTAACTCCCCAACACTAAACCCCTATTCTTTAAAGTCACCCAGATTGTGGTCTTTAGTTACAGTAAGAGTTTAGTGGACTGAAGTGTATGCTGTATGGGAAAGATTATTTCAACTGCTGAGAAGCGGGTTCAGACTTAGACAATGTGAATTTAAACTGGCCATCAAATGAGTCAAAGATTGGGACCAGTTCAACAGGGTTAGTTTCGATGCTCACGTTAAACTGTGTTTGCTTTCTTTCTTTCTTTTTCTTTCTTCTGTATTTATTTCTGCTTTTTGGTGTTTTCTTTTTAAATATGTTGTTGTGGTTATTAATACTATCAAGTTTACTAGTTGGACTTGTATTTTCTTTCTCTTATAGTCCATTTTTATCTCTGTTAATTTTGCCTCTTTGTGTAGGTGCTTTGATACATAAGGAAAGAGTAGTAAGGGCTGGGAATGTGGCTTAGTGGTAGAGTGCTTGCCTAGCATGCATGAAGCCCTGGGTTTGATTCCTCAGTACCACATAAACAGAACAAGCCGGAAGTGGTGCTGTGACTCAAGTGGTAGAATGTTAGCCTTGAGCAAAAGAAGCTCAGGAATAGTGCCTAGGCCCTGAGTCCAAGCCCCAGGACTGGCAAAAAAAAAAAAAAAAGTAAAAAAATTAATAATGTGAACTAAGGAGTCCTATTTTTATAAGGAAACCATACTAAGGCAGTATTTGAAGAACTATAAATGGCTTAAATATGGAGTTGAAGTATTATTGAAAGTATTTTTATTAAAAAAAACTTGAGTGAGCATAGTGTTGGTAGCTCATGACTAATCCTAGCTATTCAAGAGGCCCAGATCTAGAGTATCAAAATTCAAAGACAGCCCAGGCATAAAAATCACTGAGATTCTATTTCTACCTCAAGTGTGTATAAGGTCCTGAGTTCAAAATCCTAATCTGGCCACAGAAAATGGAATGAATAGTTATTTCATATTGTTAACTTTAACATTACATAAGTTGAAAATTTATTATGATTCATTACTGCGATCCACTGATATTTTCTTGCTACTGATATATCTTGTTTCTGCAGACAAGTATATTTCCCAAGACAGGGGAAATAGGAGCATGAAACTGAAGCTAAAAAACAAACTAACAAAAATGGGGGTGAGGGGGCAGTGGAGAGAGATGTTCCTAGAAGCTGGAAAGCTGGACGTGAATTTGTCACACGTATCAACTGCTATTTGACTATAAAAAGTATATCATACTGAAGGGTTTTTCAATATAATTTTCCATTTACGAGAAACACTATTTTCTGGTAACATATGAACAAAATTTAAAAAAAGAAATGTCAAAATCCAAAAACTAAGCAGCTGGGTTGCATCCCTGTTGCAACTATTTAACTCTTCAAAGACCAAACAGTGGTCATTGTTGAAGCTGTTAGGACAGCTCAGATGCTTCTTCTCTTCATCTAAAGCTTTCTCACTTTCTCTTCATAGTTTTAGACACCATCAGGCTTTCATAATTAATGGTCTCTACAATTATTTTTTTCTTATTCTTCCTACACAAATGCAATTTCTACAGCTCCCAGCTTCCAATACATTTTTTTTTAAGTGGGTGGTACTGAGGGTTGAACTCAGGACTTTGTACTTGCTAAATAAATGCTCTACTGCTGAACCACACTTCGAGCCTTTTGTTTGGATTGTTTTTATGGGGGAGGTCTGTCATGGGGCTTAAACTTTGGGCCTGGGCGCTGTCCCTCAGCTCTTCAGCTCAAGGCTAGCGCTCTACCACTTGAGCCACAGTGCCATTTCTGTTCTTCTGGTGGTTAATTGGCGATAAGAGTTTCCTGCCTGGGCTGGCTTTGAACCATGATCCTCAGACCTTAGCTTCCTGAGAACCATGATCCTCAGACCTTAGCTTCCTGAGTCACCAGCACTTGGCTTGTTCGGATTCTTTTTAAGATAAGGTCTTAGTTCCTGTCCAGTCCTACACACAGACTACAATCCCCCTGATTTTGGTTTTTTCATTTTGAACTACACTTGGGATGACAAGCATTTGCCACTCTGCCCAGCTTCTCATATTGAAGGAAGGAGTCTTGAAGACTTTTCAGGCCAGGTTGACCTGAAACCACAGTCTTCCTCATGTCAGTCTCCTGTGTATGTAGGATAACAAGCACTTTACCACTGATTCTCAGCTATTACTTGAGAAGGAGTCTCAAAAGGATGACTGGGCCGGCCTAGAATCACAACGTTCCTAATCTCAGCCTCCTAAGTAGCTAGTATTACAGGTATGAGCCGTCAATGTTCAACTCCCAACGTACTTTCATGTTCCTGGAAAATAGCTAGTTATCTTTCTAGACAAATCGTCTATGAGCCTAAGCTGAATCTGGATATTCAATTTTTCCCAAATGTTTCTGGGGCACTTTCTACATAGGAGGGGGGTGCCGATGCATCAGTGGAACCAGGCACCCTGCGCAGACTTCCGGCAGAGCGTCTGTGAGGCTCTCTTCTCACAGAGCTGATAAGAGGAAGAGGCAGGTTGGAACTCAGGCTCCAAACTTTGAAGCTTGTGACTGTATGCAGTACAACAATGGTCTTCCCTACACAAACTCATGGTGAGGAATAGAATGTGAAGTGTTAGAATACACACGTGATAATAATGCCAAGTGTGGATGTGTCCAATAAGATTGTCTTGAAAGGAAACCATTTAGAGAGTATGGATTCCAGTTTGTTGCATTCTTTAACACACACACACACACACACACACACACACACACACACACACACCACTTCCCCTCTGTTCTTCTAAGTTTTACTCAAAAGCCAACCTTTCCTATCAAGAATGTATCAACATCCAACCCACTATGCTTCCATTTGGAAGCTGTGATTGAAATCACATGGGGCATCTTACCTTAAACAGGTACTTTGTCCTCCAAGACGACCACTAAAGAGCAGAAGGCAAGACAAAACTCCAGCTTCCTTAGCCACGCAGGACTTGTGTGTGGAGAGAACTGGAGCCACAATAGGGAACAGTTTGTTCTTGGTGAAAATCCAATGGTCTCTTCTCAAGTCCTTCATCCAGCCTCACACCACCGTGCTTTTCTTCTCTAGCATGGAAGGATTCTTAAAGGGAAGGCCAGGCACCCTTGGCCAATGGGAGCCAGAAGCACGTTGCTGCATTACCACCAAATGGATGGAAGGCTGGGCGTCCACGGTGGTATCCGGAGCATCCTCCTTACTGGGGTCCTTGCCCCGGCAGTCATACAGCACGCAGGAGATGAGGAACACCAGGAGCAAGATGACGTAGCTGGCCACCAGGATGATCAGGTTCAAGGTGACAGGGTCAATCTCCAAGTAGAACTCCATCACCTCTCCGGCAATGCTGAAGTGGGTCTAAAGAAAGGCATTTGGGGTCACTTCGGGCATGACAGGGAGCAAACTGTAGCTCATCACCAATAGCTAAGTTGACTCTGGAAATAAAAATACAATAATCCCCACTGCTCCAGGAAACCTCGGGGATTAGAGTGGCTCAGTTTAATAACTTAAGCTCTGGCTGTTAATACCACAGCTACCGAAACACTGAAGTTGTCTCTCATCAGTTTAGCCACGCAGTGAGGGTAAAAGAGAGAAAGGGAGAGTGAGAAAGATGGGGGAGGAGGAAAGGAGAAAACAAGAGGAGGAGGAGGAGATGGAGAAGAAGAGAAGGGGAGATACAGAGAGAAAGAGAGAGAGAGAATCTGAGATTGTATGACTGTATTAGTGAATCCTGGTGGATAATGACCACATGGGCAAAAGTGCTATAATAAGCATGCTAAGACAACACTTCAAACCCTGGATTGTTCCAGACAAATTGTGAAGTGTTGTTGCTCTTTGTATAAGGGAAGTAATGCCAAGTGTAAGAAATAGAAAAGGATTTGGGATGTCTGCTCCTTGAGCTTTGGGAGTGAATGCATTTTTTTAGCACAAAGAATAACCAGTGTCATAGTTTTACCCTGTTTTCATTACTTCTTCACTTATCAATTCGTATATAATGTCTAGCACCTCCAATGTTTTAAACTCTGTGACAAGTAACGCAAATGCAGCAAAGATAAGGCAGAGGAACATTAGTCTAATAGAGCAGACAGACATTAAACACATTCTTCCATGAAGTGGCCACATTTGACTTATTACCTAAAGGGCAAATAGAATTTCTTCAGGTGAGGACAGATAAAGAAGACCGTCTTCTCTTTCCTCTCCTCCTTCTTTTGTAGTACTGGTGTGTGTGTGTGTGTGTGTGTGTGTGTGTGTGTGTGTGTGTGTGTGTGTGTGTGTGTGTGTGTGCGCGTGCGTGTCGGTGGTGGGGGGATAGGGGTTGCAGGTGTCAAACCTAAGTCTGATGCATACTAGGCAAGTTCTTTACCATTGAGTAACCTCTCCAGCCTGGGGAAATGCTTCTAGCCACAAAGAATAGCATATATGGAAGATCTGAACAGAAAGGAGCATGGGAAAAAAATGGGGAACCAAGGTTGTATTTACATTTTAAAGAATTGCAATGCTGTGTGGATGTAAGAAGAAGTGAAAAGTGAATGAAAGATCGAGTGCAGATTTGGAGATATATATATATATATATATATATATATATATATATTTGTATTTATGTCTTTTTTGTGTCTCACTTGTGACCCTGTAACAATAGTCTTGTATAGATCTAGCTTCATGTGTGTGTGTGTGTGTGTGTGTGTGTGACTTACATAAGTATATCAGATCCCCTGAATGCTCAGAAACACATGATACTTTGCTTCATACTCTTCTGTTCAAATATTGAAATGCTTTAATGATTTTTTAACTTTGCAATGGGCTTCAAATATTTATGTATCTGATCTTAGCCAGAAGTACTTTTCACCACACAGGGCATCAGTAGACATTTTCCAGTAGCCAATGAGATTCTTTTGATGACCAAAGGCCTAGTGAAAAGCCAACACTCCCAGATACCAGTGGTTTTCCTAATATTGATAAGTACTTAGCTTCCTGCCAATCTCCTTCTAAGCACCTTCTATGGGAACCAGGTCTTCAGAGTTACATAGAAAAGAATTCTTATTTACCTGGAAATGCTTTCCCAAATAAAATACTCCATCATTCTGTAATCCTGGACTAACCTATAGGAAGAAAATAGAAAGTTCTACCAGGCCATAGATTGAGGGCAGCCTCAACTGTAATCTATGGACTTCTTATGAACACAGATATCCTGATCAATTCCAGATCCATGGAATTGGGCTCTTTGGGGATTGAGTCTGAGAGTCTATAATCAGGATAGAGAATGATGGATATGGTGGTAGAAAAAAAGATTTAAAAGAAATGGACCAGAAGGTATTATGTATGTGCCAAGAGATACCCAGCAGGCATTAAACACAGAATCCAACAATAGCCAGTGTTCTAAGCCCAATAGATTCAGAGAATTAAGTTTGTCAAGAGGAAGTCCTTTTTGGGGTAACAATTTACATATTGATGTTATAAATAGAATATTAGTCTGTTAAGATCCTGTGTAACTTCTTCCTTCCTTGAGACAATTCTATAGGAAAATGTTACTAATAACCAGGAAGTTGCTTGGTGAAAATATTACTAATAACCAGGAAGTTGCTTGGTGAGTAAGGACTCTTAGGAAGTACAGTTGACTGCTGTAGGTGCAGATGAGATTGACATCTGTCAGTTCCAGTCAGTACACCAGAATGACTCAAGGCTTTAAAAGGCCAACCCTATGCAAAAAAAATGCACGACCACTTCCCTTTTCCCACTCTGAAAAATCTTTGCTCCTTGACTTCTAAAATGAACTCAATCTGTACAGCCCACACGCCTCCATGTGCAGCCAATACCTAGGGGAGTTCTTTGGTACCTCCACATAGGTGGCCCAAGGATTTGTTAACATTGACTCTGATAGGAGAACTGCACATAGTGTGGTCTACGTGAAATGCAGGCAACTACTCTCTTCGATGGAGTGTAGTTGTCACATCAGTTGTAGGCTTCTCTGTGCATTAGTGATTAATCTTTAATCATGATGGTGGATCTGGCCTGACCTTGATCTTCCATCATCCCAGTTCTGCCGATCTTCTCGAGCATCTCACCAGAACAAAGGTCAAGTTTGCTGTTTGTTTCATTATTTTATTACTATTTCTGCAGAGTTTATGTATCTATTAGGGCTCAAAGTTTATTTTAATCCCAACCTCCCAGAGGTTTTGTTTCTTTGCAATGTTTTGGACTACTTGTTTTACTCAACAGTAAAACATGGCTGTATTATTATTATTATTACTATTATTGCAGAACAGCTTCACTGTTTTGAATGAACTTTCCTCTTGCACCATCTAGTGGCCAAAGTAGTTGCTACTAAATAAGGAAAAAAAGCTTGTTGGCCATAAGCAAATGAGACTATGGGGATTAACCTCTGGTATTACATATAGAGAGTCTTGGATCCTCAAGTATCTCAAAGTATATCATGAAGTTTTATAAATGCCAGAGAAAAAATCATCACAAATGTACAGGAAAAGAATCGTTGGAAGTTTCATTCTTTCATCGTTAATGGCCTTAGGTTCAAGAACACATAGATACCAGTGAGAGAAACAAGGTTTTAAAGCAATGTTACTTTTATGCAGTACTGGGACAAAAAAACTCAGGGCCTCCTGTTCTTACTCAGTTCTTTGGCTTTATGACTGGTGTTCTGAGCCACATCTCCAGTCTATTTTTTAAAACTTTTAGTTGTTTTGATGCTGTTGTTAGTTAATTGGAGGTGGAGCTTTGTAGACTTTTCTGCCTGAGCTGGCTTGGCACTGCAGTCCTTTGATCTCAGCCTCATCGGTAGCCAGAATTACATGTGCAAGACATTGGCAACTGGCTAAGACAAGTTTTGGGTTGTTTTTTTTTAAAGATAATTTTTGCCAAGTGGCTTTTCCCTCCACTGAGCTATTAATGAGATAGATTAGATAATAATAGAGGGATGAACTAGCATGTGAAGATAGCAATAATAACAACAACAACAAAACCCCAAATGATTGCTACTTACATTTCGAAAACATTGTCAAAATGTGTGCTTAGGACATAACTGCACTTCCAACTCACTGCCCCTCTCCTCTTCCCAGGTGTAACCTAGTGGGTGACTCACCTGGAAACTTCTGAAGATATACTGCCACATTTTATTGGAGAATAATTGCAAAGCTCTTCCTCCCCCACCCCCCCAATCTCTACTGGGTTGAGCAGGGCCCCTTCCCGATTCACACACATCTAGTATCTCAAAATGTGCACCCCCATTTTTTTTTTTTTAGAAAAAGGATGGTATTATGTTGAGATGTGGTCATTCAAAGAAGGGTGAATGGGAATCCAATGACTGTTGTTCTTGTGGGCAGATCATGTGAGGACAGACTCACATGCCACACAGAGACAGAAGCAGAGATGGGATTTTGTGCACAGAGTCCAAGAAGTACCAAACAGTTGCCAGCAGCCGCCAGGCAGGAGAGAGGCAGTGGCAGAGGTTCCCCCAGAGCCTCCAGAGAGAGCCAAGCATGCCACCATCTTGTTTTCAGTCTTTTAGTCTCCTGCAGTGAGGAAAAAAATAATTCATTTTTGACGTCACTCTTTCGGTGATATCTTATGACAGCCATCCTAGAGAATTAAATAAACACTGGTTTAGTGCATAGGTAAAACCAGATATGGCCTAGGGCAAAGTGTGAGCTAGGCAAACATTTATAGATACTTTCTCTTGGCACTTGTCCCTGATGGTTCTGCACTTGGTTCCATGCTACTGCTTCCACCTTCTCCTCCTTCTTCTCCTTCCTCCTTCTTCTCCTTCCTCCTCCTCCTCCTCCTCCTCCTCCTCCTTCTTCTTCTTCCTCTTCTTTTCCTTCTCCTCCTCCTCCTCCTCCTCCTTCTTCCTCCTCCTTCTTCGCCTCCTCCTTCTTCTTTCTCCTTCTCCTTCTTCTTCTTCTTTTGTCAAGTGTGGCTCCAGAACAAAATCCATGAGATAAAAGAAAATTTCTGTGTGTAAGATTTACTTCTGTTTTTTGCTTAAAAATAGCATCTGTCTGGCAGCCCGGATGAAGCCTTTTATATCATCCCAGCAAAGTTCTTCAGAAGATACAGAGAGATATAAAAACCTACAAAAATAATGAAAGAGCACTGCAGGGGATATATTTTTAAAGATGTTAAGGCATTGACTTTTCCAGAAAACCATTTGAACCCAGTTGTCTTCTCTATTATCTAGGGTTTCTATGGGTAGTGGCTCTCTTAAGAGAGACCCAGCCTGGAAGATCCAAATTCATCATTCTTGGTCTCCTTTGTAGACTTCTGTGCATTTACACCTTAATCCATAGATTTAGAACCAGGCCCGGTGTGGATAGCAAGGA